TGCATGCATGTGCATGCATATGTGCACATACACATGGAATGCCTTTGGAGGTCAGAAGAAGGCATCAGATCTGCTGGGTCTAGAGTTGCAGACAGACGGGAGCCTCCTGATATGGGTGCTGAAAACCAGACTCTCTGAACAGCAAGCATCCTTGACCATCAACTGTCTCTCAGCCCTCACACCCTCTTACCCACAAAGCATAATTATGTTTGTTTGCATCTCCATTGTATCAGATTCCTCCCTTAATGAAGCCATTGGGTACAGATCTGTTTTCAAGAGCATCTGTTGGTGTGTTGTTGATGGAGTCTGCCAACTGTGCAATTCCAGGTCCCAATCTATAGCCAGGATTTTACTTGAGAGACTCTGAAACAAGTGGAATCTTGAGAGTACCCTGAGTAGATTCCCTGGGCTCTGTCTAAATGTTGAAAGGCTCATTTGATCTTAGTGTGTGTAAAAAGGGACACCATGTATTAAGGGGTTGGTAGAGGAGTTCAGCTCTAAGGAGCAGAAGCCAACCCTTCCGTGCTAAGCTGTGCATCTGTGGTGAGGTGGGAATTCATTGTGGAGTGTTTCTTCTGGCTGGTGTCTGTGTGTAGAAAGGACACAGCTCTCTTTGCTATCTATATAAGGACAGGGATAGAAAGTCGATGATGGCAGTTCTGTCTAGGGATGACACTCCTTACTGTGACATTTCCCCTTTTAATTCCAATTTCTTTCCTCTGTTCAGTACTCCAGAGGCTATGCTGTGTTGGGGACATTTACTTTATGAGACACCTTAAAAATTCCACTAGGCTGGGCAGTGGTGGCGCATGCCTTTAATCCCAGCACTTGGGAGGTAGAGGTGGGTGGATCTCTGAGTTCGAGGCCAGCCTGGTCTACAGAGTGAGTTCCAGGACAGCCAGGGCTACACAGAGAAAAATAAAAAACAAAACAAAACAAAACAAAACAAAAAAACCCAAACCAAACCAAACCAAAACAACAACAACAACAAAAAACTTAACTAGATTTTCTCGGTGGTTTTTTTTTTTCTTTTTTCTTTTCGATATTCAGCTTGAACTCTAGCTTGCTCAGGTTCATTGTGATGTGTATTTTTCATTCATAGCTGTCTTGATTTCTAGTCAGACAAAGTGACAGGAGTCTCTGTGGGGAGGCTGCACAGGGAGAGGGGTAGATCTTGACTTCTTCACTATTGTCCTCTTGCCTGTGTTCACCCATCACTGAACACATCAGGTTGGTTAGGTGCCATCTGTCTGCTCCCAACTGTGTCTGGAGATTTCTGTGGCTGCCATGAGGGTTTTAAACCATGATGTTACTTCCCTTATTCCACAGCTTGATACATACCTTTGTAAGCCACCGTGTAGCTTCACATAACAGTGGAGGATTGCTTTTTCCAGACTGTATGTCTACGGTTATGGTGTCACTACCACCCAAAGTTTCCCAGGGCACCTTTGCCACTCTCAGGTTCCTGTGTCTGTCATTGCATTTGGGCCCAGAACCGTTGTGTGTGTCGACAGGATGGAGATGTGAGTTGGGTTAAGGATTGTTTCCTATAGTTCCCTGAGAGGGGACTTGATTTAGATTTTGGCTTTTAAAGTCAGGTTCTCTCAGCTTCAGTTCCTTGATCTGTGCAAGTGTGTTAGTTCTTAGTAATGCCTTTAAAACTATTATTATTATTTGGAAGGTTCAATGCAATTACAAATAGAAAGGATTTTTTTTTAAGTTGTAAAATCCTATGCTGCCAAAGTTATAAAATGATGCAGGGTTAAGGGTTGATTTTTCTCTGCTTCTCTATACATACTCAAGAGTCTTGGGTGTGGTGCCAGGAAACTTAGCATTGTTTTACATCCTGAATGATCAGTGTCATTTGATGGGCATTTTGGGGAAATCATCAAGTTCGAATTCCAGTTTTATATGGCTTATATGAAAACGACTCTCTCTCTC